TGAAATGAACTGTAATTATGAAATGTTGACTATGGTGCTATTTTGATATTATTCTTGATTATGAATAGGAATATATCTTGTTGTTGTTGTAATATGAACTTGTATATGATTCTTTGAATGTGAATAAAGGTTTTTAAAGTGAAATTAGCATGCTTATAACATAATGTTCCTTTGTGCATGTTTTGTAATGCTTTACTTGCATATGTTTCTATACTTAGTACATTAGTTTTATACTAACCCATATTTCTCCTATTTTCTACACAATGTAGATTCGGTCCATTGTGGGGATTCTACACCTTCCTTGAAGAAATATGGATTACTATTCCTAAGTTTGTAAGTCCTTAAGTATGAAAATGGAAATGCTTGTTTCTAATTCTAGTTCAACTTTCCTTATTGAAATACTATATTGTAATTCGTATTATAAGACTTGTTGTTGATGTAAGGGATAGGTCCTGATATGCACAATCCTATGTCTAGATAGCTATGTGACACAAATTAGATTATATTTTCGATATATGAAGCGAAGTTGAGCTTCAAATGAAAAGTTCTAAATTTTCCGCTTTTATTCTATCTATGATGCAATGACGCATGCTAAGGACTTTTCGAAGACCTCTTCGAGGTAAACAACGCTGGTTACTTCCAAGGGTACTCTTGTGTCGTAACATGATCTTTCATTTAGATTTTATGTGAATTTTAGTGTTTTGGAGCTTTTGAACTTTGAACAGTCATTTTTTTATCAAAAGTTCAAGAAGATGATCTTAGAATCCAATTATGACAATTCTATTAACTTTGAAAATGTGATTTAAGCAAGTGGCATGGTTGACATTACTCTTGAGTCTTTCATTGCGAATTTGTGTGATTACACTTGTAACCTTCCAGAAAATGTACTTGTCCAGTGAAGAGTCTATTAGGTTTTAAGAGTACGTATTCGAGTACATAGGCATCCCAATGCCCAATATAGAGTAATATTGGGCATGTTAGAGAATATTGACTTGAGGGTGTTAGCAAATTTTCTATGTACTAACAAGTAAATTAAGATATATTTTGATGTTCAAATGCTCCAATCCAAGCTTCTTTAGGAATTGTACATGCAATGAAGACCCTAAGCTAAGATTTATATTTCTTAACAATGTGCACATTTGGTAGGAGTTATCCAAGTTTCAAGCCTAGATACCATTGCTCATTATCATTTAAAATAATCATGTAGATTAAGAAGTGCCCAAGGACATAGTGAGTATCCTTGGGACAAGAGGACAAGAAGTAAGTAGCAACACATATGCAAGCACATGTGCTACCGGCCAAGTGACAAGCCCAACCTAATTCGGTTAGGGCGGTTAGGGGGCAGGAGCGCGTCAGGTCAAGCCACGTGGGGCCTAGATTCCTAACCAATCCTAGGATCTAGATAACTTACCTAACTAGCTAACTCACCTAGGACTAACAAAAACAAACTAACTAGTGTACACAAAATCCTAAGAGCCAACTAGGTGACACTAGACAAGTAACTAACTAAAGAAATATCCTAGTACCTAACCTAAGATGGTTCAAAGGGGTTGGTTATTGTCCTAGTGACTTATGGGTACACTAGTAATTACCCTAGGTCACTTAATTAATTAAATTAGAAACTTAATTAATTAATTAAAAATCATGAATTTGACTAAGTCAAATGTTCTCCTATTTTAGTCAATTTAAAAAGGGCATTTTGGTAATTAGCTAATTGATTTATTTAATTAAGTTAATTAGCCTGAGTTGAATTAGTCAATATTCAGTTCCTAAGACTTATACTTACGTTTAAATAGGTAAGAAACTCACGTTTATAGTAAACAAACGTAAGAAAAATAGAAAATTCTCCTTAGGCGATTTCAAGACAATTCTTCAAGATTTTCGTGCAAAGTTCGGGTGATCTTCGTCGATTCAATTCTATAGTACGGTATGGATTTTATCTCTTGTATTCCTTTCCCCAGGAGTATTTTCAAATGTTTTGAATTCATGAAAACAAAAACTAGCGTTTTCCAATAAAACTGCCGAATATTCATCTCCCTAGTTCTCCCTATTCCCGATTCTAGTAGTATGTATAATCCAAATCTCGAGCATGTTGTTGGTATATTCTGCTAACTTATCATTATGTGTAGGTTTTTTTGATTTGATAATGTTGAATGAGACCTATAGGTTAGATCCGTATAATTAGAGTATCCTTTACATGAGATAGGAAATGTTGTAATGCCTAATTGAGTTCTAGAAGATGAAATTGTTATAAGTCCCTATGAAATTCAGTTAATTTGAAAGGAATGAAGGTTTTGATTACTGTTTGTGTTGACAGTAGATATGTTTGTAAGTGTTTGGAATGCAATGTTTCCAAGAAGAAATAAGAATGAGAATCAAAGTTAGTTGATGAATCTTCAATGCCAATTACCTTTATAGCTTAGCCAAATCAAGCATAGAATTTTTCTTAGGATTAAAAGTTGGCGTGCTTAAAATGATGATATACCTATGGTATATACATGAAGTTAAATGACTTGGCTTAGTGATAATATTATGACAAGTGTTTAGTGAACGTTTGGTTTATGCCAATAAATTGTCCAACAATATTATTTCAAAAATATGTAATAGAATTGGCTAACTCAATGAACTCATAACTTAGGGTATGCCAGTAATTGGGAAAAGTCCCAACACACCCTATCTAAATGAACTTGTGGCATAGTGGCACAATAAAGAGTCCTCATAACTTTCATAAAGAATAGGACAACACTACCAAACAACAATGAACAAGATACGGTAAGTAATGAAATAACTAAAAGCTTATGAGTTCTGAAATTGACCTAGAATGAGGTGTTAAAGGAAGTGAGACAAGTCACACTTGCACCTAAACACTTATGTCAAAGATACTCACAAAAAGGGTGTTAGAAATTGTGAGACTAGTCTGATTCACACCATAATGATAATGTAAGAAGTTCGCATTCATCAAGTATAAAAAGGTATGACAAGTCATCCATTGATATAAGACTACCTCATACTAGAAGCAAGCTTCCATAATGTATAAGTCAACTCTAAAAGTTTTAAAGTATGATAAATTGAGAAAAGCACCGATAGAATACTAATGAGCTTGTGCAAGCACATGTAAGCCTCATAAGATGAGACTACCACCAAGGTGGATAAGAGTCTCCAAATTCTCCTAATGTTATAACTATGTTCCTATCATAGGTTAAAAGCTAGTGGATCCGCCTAAGAAAGCTAGGAAGTATTCAGTTCCACTTTGGCCGGTGAACCACCTCTTTTAAGTGTGGGGAAGACACTGGATTTCATCTTAGCTCATATGATCTATGTCGGTTAATGCAAATGATTTCTTTTAGAAAGTAAGAAACAAAGATAGAATGAACTAGAAAAATGATGGGTGTTCAGATAGGATGACCAAAGGGTGAGGTTATACTACATAATGATGTAACTCATTCTTAGTCGTGGCATAAAAATATCACAATGGAAGTCTTAAAAGAATATCCTAAGTCAACCTAGAATATTCAAAGTGAACAAGAGATCAAAGAAGAAGAAATATAAGTCAAACTGAACTAAGTAAGTAAAAACATCTTTATATTGTGCAAATGATCAAATAATGGGCATAGCCCATAACGTTTGGCTTATAAAGAATATACGCCCCAACATCTTTATATTGTGGAAATGATAAAAAAATAGGCATAGCCAATAAAGATTGGCTTATAAAGAATATATGTCCCAACATCTTTATATTATGCAAAAGATATAAAATAATGGGCATAGCCAATAAAGATTGGCTTATAAAGACTTCATGCCCAATTTAACAAGAATGGAAAGAATAACTTGTGAGTAAGGTAGTCAAATCATTTCGTTAGTCTTTTTTATTACATACATGAGTCATTGTAGGAAAGGGATTACAATTAATCATTGAACTCGTAATTAAAACATAGGATCAAAGGAGATCATTGAACTACACACAAAAAGAAGAAAGGACTGAAGAACAAACTAAGTCTCGGGAGGGGAGCTTTGGGCCTAAGGGGAGCAAAATTGTTAAATTTTGCTCGAGTTGTTCTAAAATTATGTTCATTATTCCAAGGTCTTATGTTCATATAGAAAACGATTTGTGTGCTTTAAATTCATTAAAATATGTTATATTCATAGCATGATTCATAAATAACGAATTAAAAAAGTAAAGTGACTTCACTTTTTAAAAATGGCATGTTGCTATAGGTAGAGCTTTCCTTGATTATGCATAGTCGTTATGTGTTTATCTGCATACACCCATACTTAGTACAAGTGTGTACTAACCCATATACAATTACCATTTTATAGGTGCAGGTCCTTGAAGAAGATTGAAGATCAATTGAAGTTGTTTGGACTAGTACCTCAATACTTTGGTAGTTCCTATTATGTTCGAGGATCCCTACGCTTTATTTTCTATCCTCGGTAGATTAGAAATATCTAGTGAATGTTTTCCCTATATTTTTTTTCTAACATTTTTTCAACCTTTCGTATTAAGGCCGGTTTGGCAACTATTAATGATATCATGAATTCTTCAGTCAATTGTTCAATCTAATAATAGAAGGTTGTTTATGTTTAGCTGTAGTATATCACACTTATGGAAGAATTATATGAAGTCTAAGTATACTTCAGTAAACTTAAAAAAAAAGTTTTTAATTTTTTGCTAAATTTAAGTATATGATTCTGATGAAAGCTAAGAAGAGGCTTGTCTGTGACGTCTGAGAGGTTAACGACGCCGGTCTCATCTAGGGTCAACTCGGGTGTGACGAACTTGGTATCAGAGTATGAGGTTAAATTACATAGGAACTAAGGCTCATAACAACCACGTTGCGTAATTTCTAGCTTATGATTGTGAAGTGTACCACAACCATGACTTAGAGACTTAATGATGTTAAGAATCTTCCCTTCTTCTACTATTTATCGTGCTATGTAGAGTTTTGGAATTTTGTGTCATTCTAGTATCTAATTTCATTGTTCTGTGTGTGTGTAGAAAAATGAACACTAAAAGAAACACAGGCACGAGAGTTAGAGAAGTAGCTGCTGGGGGAAACCAAGCTCCTCATCAAGCCCCAGCTTGTGGAGTGCAAGTTCCTATCAACCCAGCTGCGTTGACGGATGGAGAAGTGAGAGCAGCATTTGTTCAAATGTCCCTAGCCATCACTGCTCATGAATACGCTATAACAGCCCAGGACACTAAAGAGGGTTCTCCCACATTCTAGCACCATGGCCATCAAACTGAGAGAATTCACTAGGATGAATCCTCCAGTCTACTTCGGGTTCGGGACCAATGAGGATCCCCAAGAGTTTGTGGACGAGGTCCACAAGATTCTATGTGTTGTGGGTGTTTATGAAGAGGAGAAGTCTGAGTTGGCTGCATACCAGCTCTAGGATGTCTCTCAAGTATGGTACAAGATGTGGTAGATGGTCGAGCACCAGGAGAAGTCCCCATCACTTGAGACATTCTCAAGACTGCATTCCTAGAGAGGTTCTTTCTCATAGATCAGAGAGAGGCTAAGGTTGAAGAGTTGATGAACCTACGTCAGGGAGTTATTTCAGTCATGGAATACTCCTTGATGTTTTTTAAACTTTCCAAATATGCTTCTTCCCTGGTGTCTAGTAGAAGGGATGAGATGAGCAGGTTTATGACTGGTGTATCGAAGGATATGAAGGAGGATTGTCGGGCAGCCATCTTGCATGATAACATGGACCTTGCTAGGTTAATGGTATATGCACATTATGTAAAAGAGAGTCGTCGTAGGAAGAGAGGTCGAGAAGGCAAGAAGCCTAGGATCTCATATGAAGATAGTTCTAGCACTGGTAGGGGTTCGTTTGTAGTCCAGGACAGGCCCAAGTTAAAGAAGGGGTACCAGCACTCAGGTAATCCTACTCCTTCCAGGAATAATAATGCCAAAGGGGACAAGTCTTACCCCAAGAAGGGCAATAATAAAAATGCCCAGTGTGACAGAAAGTCGTGTTGTAAGTGTGGTCGTTTACATGGAGGTGAGTGCATGGTAGGTTCTAATGACTTCTATGGGTGCGGGAACAGTGGGCATATGATCAGGGATTACCCACATGTTAAGAATCAGGCTAATGCGGATACTGAGCCTCGGTTCAATCATACTATTGCAGCCGATCCTCACAACAGGAACATGTTCTATGCTTTGAAAGGTAGAGAGGAGTAGAAGAAGTCAGATGATGTATTTACCTGTAACTTGCATGTCTTTTTTTTTCCTGTTTATACATTGTTAGATCTAGGATCCACCTTGTATTTTGTTACTCCTTTAGTAGCTAGTAAATTTGACTTGCTTCCTGAGATCTTGCATGAACCTTTTCTAGTTAGTACTCCCATAGGAGAAAACATTAGAACTAAAAGACTATATAGAGATTGCCCAATAAATGTTCTTCATAGAGTTACCTATGCTGACCTAATATGATTTACCATGCTTCACTTTGATATAATTTTGGGTATGGATTGGATCCATAAATTCTATTATACCATAGAGTGTCGAAACAGGGTAGTAAGGTTTCAGTTTCCTAATAAGTTAGAGCTAGAATGAGAAGGGTGTAGTTCAAATCAAACAGGCCAAATAGTTTCCCATCTTAAAGCCAATAAGATGTTGTCTAATGGGTATTGATACCAACTTAGTCAGATTCAATGACTTAAAACATGAAGTTCCTTCCAAATACTTTTTGTCCATAGTTTAATGAGTTTCAAGATGTCTTTCCGGAGGATTTACTAAAAATCCATCCTGAACGCAAAATTAACTTTAAGGGTGACTTAGATCACAACACCAAACCAATTTCCAATCCTCCCTATAGAATGGCTCCAGCTATACTTAAAGAGTTAAAGTTGCAGTTAAAAGATCTACTTGATAAGGAGTTCATCCAGCCGAGCATATCCCGATGGGGTTCTTCAGTGTTGTTCGCTAAGAGAAAGGATGGAACCCTTAGAATGTTTATCGATTATCAGCAACTCAACAAAGTCACTATAAAGAACAAATATCCTATTCCCAGAATTGATGATCTATTTGACTAGCTCCAAGGTTCAAGTTTTTTTTCTAAAATAGATCTCTGGTCAGGGTATCACCAGCTTAGAGTGAGACAAGAGGACATTCCTAAGACTTCCTTGCGTACAAGGTATGGTCATTACAAGTTTCATGTCATGTCATTTGGTCTTACTAATGGACCAGTCGCGTTTAAGGACCTTATTAATAGAGTCTTCCATGAACTTCTTGATTCTTTTGTCATAGTATTAATAGATGACATCCTAATATACAATCTAAGACCAGATAATATCATGAAAAACATTTGAGAATTACATTATAAGTACTCAGAGAACATCTGATATATGCAAAATTCACTAGATGTGAGTTTTTGTTGAGATCAGTGACCTTCCTTGGTCATGTTGTGTCCGACTAAGGTGTAGAGGTTGATCCGAAAAAGATTGAGTCCGTAAAGAACTGGCTGAGACCCCTTACTTATGTAGACATCCATAGTTTCTTGAGATTAGCTAATTACTATCATAAGTTTGTTGAAAATTTTTCCTCTATTGTTGCTCCATTTATAGCTTTAACAAAGAAGAATATGAAGGTTTAGTGGTCCGAAACTTGTGAAAAGAGTTTCCAAGTCAACCTTAGTTCTCACATTGCCGAGGAGTGGTGAATGGCATGTGGTGTATTGTGATGCTTCCCGAGTAGGTTTGGGATATGTTCTTATGCAGGATGGCAAGATGTTTTCATATGCATCAAGACAATTGAAAATCCACGATTCAGAATTACCCTAACCTTGATCTTGAGTTAGCTTCTGGCGTATTTGCGTTAATACTTTGGAGACATTACGTATATGGTGTACATGTTGATGTATTTAGTGACAATATTAGTCTTCAGTATGTTTTTTCACAGAGAGAATTCCATCTTGTCAGAGAAGATAGCTAGTGCTGCTTAAGGATTATGACATGAGCGTCCACTGTCACCTAGGTAATGCCAATGTGGTGGCCGAAGCTTTAAGCCGATTGAGATGGGCAATGTGTCTCATATTGATGATGAGAAGAATGATCTAGTTAAAGAGGTACACCAATTGTCTAGGTTAGGTGTACGACTGGTAGGTACTTCAAGTGGGGGTGTTTCAATTCATTCCAATTCTGAATCCCCATTTGTTGTATATGTTAAATATAAGCAACATCTTGACCCTATACTAATGGATTTGAAAGATTCAATGTTCACAAGCTGAATGAATCATTCTCCCTAGAGGGGAATGGTGTGCTTAAATACTAGGGAAGATTGTGTGTGCCCAATATTTATAATCAGAGACCTAGTATTATTGCAGCGGCTTATGGCTCCAGGTTTTCCATTTATCCAGGTTCCACCAAGATGTATAATTATCTCAAGGAGATCTATTGTTAGGGAGGTATGAAGCGAGATATTTCTATGTTTGTGGAGGAGTGTCCCAATTGCCAACGGGTTAAGGCCAAACACCTAAAGCGTGGAGGTCTTACCTAGTCGATTGAGATACCAAAATAGAAGTGGGAGGCTATTAATATGGACTTTATTGTTGGTCTTACCAAGACAAGGAATATGCATGATTCCATTTGGGTCATTGTTGATAAGATGACTATGTATGCTCACTTCATTCCTGTGAAGTCTACTTACATGGCCGAAGATTATGCCAAACTGTATATTGATGAGATAGTTAGGTGGCATGGGATCCCTTTATCTATCATTTCAGATAAAAGAGCCCAGTTCACTTCTCACTTTTGGATATCCTTCCAAAAGATCTTGGGTTCACAGGTGAAGCTCATTACATTTTGTCATTCTTAGACAGATGGACAAACAGACCGTATGATTCACACCCTTGAAGACATGCTGAGAGCATATATTATTGACTTCAAGGGGAGTTGGCGTGGTCACTTGCCACTTATTGAGTTTTCTTAAAATAATAGCTACCATTCCAGTATTGGGATAACACCTTTTAAGCATTGCATAGAAAGAGATGTAGGTCTCAATTGGATTGTTTGAGGTAGGAGAGTCTTCCGTCCTTGGCCCTGAGAGCATACATGAGGCTATGGAAAAAGTGAGAAGGATCAGGTATAGATTGGCTACTGCTTACATTCGTCAAAAATCCTATGATGATAACAAGAAGACGACTCTTGAATTTGAGGTAGGTGAGATATCACCCATGAAAAAGGTGATGAGTTTTGGTAAGAAAGGAAAGTTGAGTCCGAGGTATATAGGTCCTTCTGAGATCTTACAGCGAGTAGGGAATGTTGCCAATGAACTGAAGTTACCAAATGACTTAGCTTGTGTTCATCCAGTGTTTCATGTTTTAATGCTGAAAAAGTGTCTAGGTGATCCGGCATCTATCTTGCCTGTTGAGGGTTTAGGAGTCGATGAAAACCTTTTCTATGAAGAGGCTCCAACTGAAATTTTAGATCGCCACATGAAGCAAGGAGATTGCCACCGTAAAGGTGTTATGGAGGAACCACCTTGTTGAGGGAGCGAATTGGGAGGCCGAGGTCAACATGACATCCTGTTACCCTCACTTGTTCAGTTCTTTAGGTTAGATATACTCTTTGTAAATCTTATTTTGTTTATGAAAACTCTAAATTTTAGTGCATTAGTCGGTCTTGGTGCTTTAAGTCCATAACTGTGTGTCTTATACTTGCACTATATGAGTTAATATGAGTTCATGCTTGCATTCATGTTGCTGATTTTGTATAGAGTTGGCATGATTTTTGTGTTGCATGATTTGTGGTAGGCATTGAGTTAAATTTAGATTGAGAAGGAACTTCCTCAATCTCACATATGTAGCTTCAGATAAGCGTTGAGTGATGTGCATCATACATAGTATGTTGCCAATCAGATATTTACAAAGAGTAAAGTTTCAAGTATGTTGATGTGTTTTTCGAAAATACCCTTTTTGATTCAAAATGATGTGTAGTGTCATTTAGGGATGAATGTTCCTAAGGGGGGGATAATGTAATATTCCATAAAATGTACTTGTCTAGTGAAGAGTCTATTAGGTGTTAAGACTATGTATTAGGGTACATAGGCATCCCAATGCCCAATATTGAGTAATATTGGGCAATCTATAGAATATTGGCTTAAGGGTTTTAGCCAATTTTGTATACGTTCAATGAAGAGCCTGAGCTAAAATTTATATTTCTAAACATTATTCACATATGGTATGAGGCATCCAAGCGTCAAGCCTAGATATTATAGCTCATGATCATTTAAAATGATAATGTAGATTGAGCAGTGCCCAAGGACATAGTGAGGATCCTTGGGACAAGAAGAAAAGAAGTGTGCAACAACTCATGCTCAATCACATCTGCTACCTGCCAAGAGACCAAGAGACAAGCCCAACAGAACTAGGTGACACTAGCCGAGTAACTAACTAAAGAAACACCCTAGTACCTAACCTGGGATGGTTCGAAGGGGTATGTTATGGTGTTAGTGACTTCAGGGTACTTTTGTAATTACCCTAGGTTAATTAATTAATTAAATTACAAACTTAATTAATTAATTAAAAATCATGGTCTTACCCGAAACCCTTAGACAATTTTAAGAATTTGGCTAAGTCAAATGTTCTCCTGTTTTAGTCAATTTATGAAGCATTTTGGTAATTAGCTCATTAATTTATTTAACTAAGTTAATTAGCCTAAGTTTAATTAGTCAATATTCAGTTCCTAACACTTAGACTCACATTTAACAAAGTAATAAACTCACATTTACAGTTAACAAACGTAAGAAAAATAGAAAATTTTCCTTAGGCGATTTTAAGGCAAATCTTAAAGATTTTCGTGCAAAGTATGAGGTGATCTTCGTAGATTCAATTCTACAATAAGTTAAAGGTTTTCTCTATTGGATTCCTTTACCTATGAGACTTTTCAAATGTTTTGAATTCAAGAAACCAAAACTAGGGTTTCCCAATGAAATAGTCGAATGTTCATATCCCTAGTTCTCCCTATTTCGGATTCTAGTAGTATGTATAATGCAAATCTCGAGCATGTTGTTGTTATGTAGTGATAACTGATCATTATGTGTAGGTTTTTGTGATTTCATAATGTTGAATGAGACCTATAGGTTAGATCCGTATGATTAGATTATCCTTTACATGAGATAAGAAAAGTTGTAATGGCTCATTGTTTTCGAGAAGATCAAATTGTTATAAGTCGTTATGAAAT